TATTAAATTATTAATAAAATTAAAATATATTATTTTATAATCTGAAATAGTTTAAAGTATAAAATAAAAATTTTTAAATAAAAGAAAGGATATAATATTAAGAAATTCCATTATTTATTAAAAAAATATTTTTTTAACAGTTTTTAAAAAAAATAAAATTAATGGCTTAAAAAAAAAAAAACTAGTGGACTAGGCTATTGTACGAATTCTAAAAATTCAAATCAAAACGACAGTTTAACAGGGGGTACAATTTACGGGGCCTTCGAACCGATTCGAACACGAAACGTGATATAAGACCACCAAGATTTCACCGTTCAAAACCCGTACCATAACGCCACTATAACTTTTATTTTCGGAGGGCTCAGAGGTTTTTTTTATATTTATTTAGATCGGGCATCATCATCGTTATCCATCATCATCGCTTCCCGCGTTCCTGTGAAACCCTAACCTCTTGATTCCGAAGCTTGAAACCTCAGCTTCCATGTCGGTCTAGCAAGCAACTTGATTTTTTCCGGTGGGATTCCCATCAAAGTAAGCAATTTTCTGTAATCTTATAACTTTGAGACTACCTGATTGTTTGTTGATATTAAAGTTCAACTCTTTGCAGTAATATATTTTGTTACATTTGAAAACATAGTGATTCTGCAATCGGCAATCCTTACCATTCCTCTGTTTACGGCTTTTGGCGTTCTTTCCTTACTTGAATTTCATTTGCTACTATGTGTTTGTGGATCATTCTCATTAACATTGATAGAATGATAGCATAATCAGGCTTTTTGAGATGGACCTTTCAGATGACTTTTTCGATGAGCCTTCAGTTAACCAGGGTAAGAGACTTGCTTTGCATGCGTTCATTTATTTTGAAGTTCTTTTTTAAGGTGCTGGTAATTTGACTTGAATCCTTTTGTAGCTCGTGCGGGTGGCAAGTTCCAACCCAGGGCCAAACAAAAACCTAGGAAGGGAACATCTGTATCTGCTGCTCCAACATGGCCGAGTGATACTAAGAACGAAGGTGTTATGCAATCATTGTCCAATTTGGACGCAGTGCAACCTGTTCAGTCTATTGATGTTGTGGACAATGGATTGATCAATCCGAAAGGTTCATCCGTTTTAGCTACCTTGGAAATAGTTGGACATGAAGAATCCTTGACACAAAATGAGACACCCGCCTCAGATGTTCCTGTTTCTGACATTCCTATGTGGAGAAAAGATGTAAAACCTTATGCTTGGTTAAGTTGTCTATTACTACTAGATGTATCTCAAGTTCTATTGAACTGATTACGTTGGTTTTAGGTAGACCTTGATCTGGACCCTTTAAAGGATGTTGCAAATACCGCCCCAAAGAATGGTGAGTTAATTTTTTTAACTGCTGTGATATAGTTTCTGAGTTGTTAAATGATTGGAGTTAAATCTCTCGGCAGCTAGGGCTGGTGGCAAGTTTCAGCCTAAAGCTGAATGTGGTCCTACAAAAGAAACTTCTCAACCAATCCTTTCAACTCTCCAAGATGGTATGGAAGAAAAGGCTGCTAAAGCGGCATCTTCTGGCTTGGAATTGGATGAAGATCAAGTTGTCCAGCATGTTGATGTTGCAGATGACAGCAGGAACTTGGGAAAACTGAATGGTTCTCAACCAGTTGCCACAGATGAACCTTCAGGGTTTCCACTTTCTGATGCATGTGATTATTTTCAGTTGAGCACTGGAAAATCCGCGGGGGAGGTAAAAGGACTTGACTTCAAAGCTATTTCCTTGCATTGACATTTTTCATAATATGTTGACAAATTATGTTATTTTCAGGCTGCTGACATATTTTCTGAGTTGGAAAGCCTTGATCCATTGCTTACACAGTCTTCTGGTGGTACAAGTGAGTTGTGGAAGATATTTTTGACCTATTGAGCTGTATGATTGTAAATATTCTGAGAAATTACATATTTATTTTTTTAGAAGCAAATGCCAGTGAGAAGTCCAATGATAGAATTGAAATGGATGCTTTGCCAGCAAACAAGTTTGTTACATCTGATTCTGTGAGTAACAGTGAACCAGATTTACCATATCCTATAGAGACAGCAGCAGTTCTTGTTTCTAATAACAAAGACAACATTGGAGAATCTGAAATTCCAGCTCCAGGACCAAGGATTGGTGATGCTACAGAAGTTAGTACTTGCTTTTGCTCTGATTAGTATTTCTGCCAAAGTTTAAGTATTTCTTGTTAACAAATAATTGCTATTGAATAATCTGTTATAATATCACTTGTGTTTAGGAAGCAGGGGCCTTTCCAGATATGGAAACTGAAGATATTGTTACATCTGGTATGTCCAAATCAGGTTACTATGTTTATTCATAATTTCTTTGTGTTCAGGCCTTTATAAATCTGGGAACTAAAGCAAGGAAAAGCTAGAAGAGAAAATTGGAAGAAAGGCATTATCCTTTATTAATTTTGTGATATGAAATTCTTTCATTAAAGAGCTAAAGTAAACCCAAGATACAATCTAACATACTGACCTAATATTAAGTCTTAAGATTTATTCTCATAATTAAATCAATCAACCTCTTAATGAAATTGATTCTCTCCCAATATCTTTAACATTTAGGAGTTCACAAGGGAAAATTCAAACCAAAGACCAGGTCACAAAGAGGAGAAAAGAAACCTAGTGCTACTGTCCCTCAACCTGCTGCAGATGAATCTGTTATGGATCCACCAAATGTGCAGTTTGTTCCTTCTGAAACTGAGTGCATGGAGGAAGGCTCAGTTCCTGTCCCCCCACCAGGTGATGTTGTTGATCACCTATCCGTGAACTTAGATGATTGTACCACGCTAGATGCTTCTACACGTGAAATCTCAACAAATGAGGAACTGGGCAACCTCCCTAAAGCTTCTAATGATGATGCTGCGCCTTCTAAAGATGTCCCTAGAATGCCTGAAAAAGTTGTAAATTTTTTTATCTAAAAGTTTCCTATTGCTCCTAGTCTCATATATATTATATATAAAAAATCTCATTTTACTGCCTTTTTAATGATACATTGTTTCTATTGTTTATTGGTTTCTTTAGAGTTCTAAGAGAGGGAGAAAAAATGCTCCTACTGCATCAAATCTCTCTAAGAAATCAAAGAAAAATTCCACTGCTGCAAATAATGAGCATGAAGATGAGACTTATAATGATGGTAGCATAAATGATGAGGTCCCAACCTGTTCTGTTGCCAATGATGATGAAGATGATGATAGAGATGAAGATTACATGGAAAGTACATCTACAAGGAAAAGGGCCACCAGGAAGTCAAAGAAACCTGTCATTAAAAACGAGAAATCAGCTCAAAAGCGAAAGAAATTGACTAAAGAATTAGATCAATCAGCTAAAGAACCTGCCAAGAAGTTTTCTCATTCAACTTGTCGTAAGAGAAGATGTGGTAATTGGAACTTCTAAGTGTCAAAGCTTCTAAGACATTGATTTTAATATTTTAAGTAACTGATCAGTTTCTCTTTTGTAGTGGATAAGGCTTTACTTGAAGATGATGACATCGACTTCCGAAGGATTGCTATGAAGGATCTCATTCTACTTGCAGAGCATAAAGAGCGGTTAGAGGTATGTGTTCTTCTGTCCTGCCTTTTATGTAATATCTAAAGAATTTTGGATACTTCTGGGGGCTGTATTATGGTTATATGTGTGCACGAAAGCATCTGTTTGTTTCAAACACCTGTACTTGGTGGATCTCTGCATTATGATCCTGGCAGCTATTCCCCACTAATTCCAGCTAGTTTTGCAACCCCCCCCTAAATAGCCCTCCACCTGACATTCCTACCTCTAGGAAAAAAAGATGCATGATAATTACTACTTTCTTAGCCTCTGAACTCATATTTATTTCACATTTGACAATTTACTTTTAATGTTCTCTGTTTGTTCTATATCTATCTTATTGAGCAGAAGAAAGAGGCTAAAGCATCAAATGTTCCATTGGCGAATCAAAGGTACACAACAAATTGCATTTGGCTAAATTGTTTTGTTTATTAGGCTTTACCTCCCTGTTTTTGTTACCTAGTGTTTGATGGTTCAGTGCGTTTAATGACATCCTGGTTATGTAATTTAATTGAAAGCTAGCTTGACATCAATTGCTGTAGAGATGTTCTTTCCTTTTTCATTGTGGTCGTTTACACTTAAGAAATATCCAGTTTAGAGCTTACTTAATGGTCAAATATTATTTTGATTCTATGGATTGTTAAGTGCTAACCTTGCTATGCTGCAGCACATAATTTATAATTTCCTGTCAGTGTGTATCAGAAGTTGGAGATGATAGGATTGTATGGCAATTTTAGTTTCACGTTCTTGGATATAATTTTATAAACAATTCAAAAGCAGACTTGCTTATGGATAACAATTACATCTTACGTTAAATGTTTTGGAGACATTAATTGAGAAGCTAGCAGACCTTCTTGATTTTAAGCTGTACATGGGTCATGGCATCTCAGTCCACTGTTTTTAAGTTCTGGCTATGATATTTTTTGGTGCAGTACACAAAACTCTTCTCATGTGGAAGATGCTCATAATGAGGAAAGCTCCTTTGCTTCAGAACAAGCTCAAGAGTCTACTGATGATCCAGTTGGTTACACAACTCAGTTTAATACCTGTTTCTTTAATTATCAGTCTTATATGAACAAAGAATCTAGAGCAAGGTGGTCAAAACAGGACACAGAATTGTTCTACGAGGTACATGTTGTAAAAGAAAGACTGCATTAACAACTCTGTTTCAGATATGTTGTAAATGAACAAAGTACATAAAGCAACACTCATTTATTTTTTATTTTCTTGTTTTGAGTTTGTTACATTTAATGATGCTGAAAAATGGTTACCAGTTGTTTTGACTAAACTCTTTGTTTTGTCCTGCGGAGGGTTTAACCATCATTGGCTAGTAGTATTTGCCAATTATTAACCATTGTCAAAAATTGTCAAATCTTATGTTTCTGATAAATAGTTGCGTCATTCTAACTACTATGTGTTGTACAACCTATATTTTAGGCAATCCGGCAGTTTGGGACAGATATGTCAATGATTCAACAACTTTTTCCTGGAAGAACACGTCACCAGATTAAGCTGAAATTCAAGAATGAAGAGCGTAGACACCCAATGAGGATTTCTGAGGCTGTGGCTAGTCGTGCCAAAGGTAGAATTATATGTCATTGTTTTTATAACACAAAGCTTCACTGATCTAATTCCTGCAAGATGTCAAAATGCTTATCAAGTTTGAAGTGATAATATAACAAATACATTGCACAGATCATTCTCATTTTGAAAAGGTGATCAAGCAACTGAAGCAAGTTACTGCTCAAGCAAAACAGGGTTCTGATGGAGATGACTCAATTGGTGTGACGGGTGAGGAAGAGGTAGAGGAGTTGGCTCCTGAAATCAATGTATGTTTTCTGTTCTCTTTTGTTAAGTCGATAATTTGCTTCTGCTGCTATATGGCATGAGGAGGATGTACTTCTGTGTTATGGAAGCTTGCTTTAGGACTGTCCATGACAATTATGTACATGGACTTAAAATTGCGTATCACATAAGTGTCTTGTCATAAAAACCGGTGAATTCAAAATGCTGATCTCGATTAGGACCGTGTCTTTTATCTTAAACACTGATATGGTTTCATACATTATGCTTACACATCATGCTTGTGTCCCAGTCCTTCAAATAAATCATTGTTATTTGCTAAAAGAATCTCACATGAGAATTGTCTGTCTGTGATGTCGCTTATGGTGATTATATTGGTTCTGCTTTTACTTGGCTGATAAAATTTTACTTGGCAGGAAGAGGCAACAAAAACTAAGAAAGATGAGGACATAGAACTCAAAGATCAGGGAGCGGATGTGGCTAAAGTCCATAGTCCTTTGAAGTCTAATGAGAGTGAGGATGACGCTGACATGTGGGATTTATATAAAAATGCATTTTAATTATCCTCAAACTAAGACCATGGTTACATTTTCTCTTTCCCATATAAAATGTTTATTTTGCTTAATATACACATTCTCTTTTACTGTGTTTTCCTACCAAAAATTGCATTCAAGTTATTCACATCTGTCCCTGGTGATGCCCCAATAAAGAGAGAGAGCATTATTTTCATGCAATCATTCTGCACCTTCCCCCAGCATGGATAGGGCAGTTGGGCCCATATTATGACTGTCAACAAAAGAGCTATCAGTTTCCTTCCCCTGTCGGCAATCTTGTTTTCTCAAAAGCCAGTGCTGGTCTCCTTCCCTACTTTTCCTTTCTCTGTCGGCAACCTTGTTTTCTCAAAAGCCATTGGAAAAATCTAAATGGTGTCTGAACTAGTAACAACTTGAAGGTTAAAAAAAAAAAAAAAAGGAGTTAGAACTTGATTGAAAGGTGGAGTACTTAATTTCGAATCTTGAGACATTATAGGAATTCGAAGGGAAGGGCTGTCTTACTTGCATGGCATAAAGGGTGGTAAAATTATACTCGACTTTTAATTCGATTTTAATTTAACCTATAAAAAATGGATTAGACTCAAGTAGTATTAGATTTGTGATCAGTTCGGGTCAAGTCAAACGGGTCACATGTTAAATATAAGTGAATTTGCGAGTTTACAAGTAAGTTAACCCGTTTGATTTATTTATTTTAAAAATTTTAAGAAATATATTTTTATAAGATAATTTTTTAAGGTAAAATAACAAACAAATATAATTTTAAAAAAATCTAATATGATAGTGGTGATTATAATTTATAAAACTTTTTAAATGAAGTTGATTATAGTCATTTCAAATTTATAAATCAAGTAGTGCATATTATATATGATTATTGATAAAGAAAGCA